GACACTGTGGGGATGGATGCCAGGTGCATGGCAGGGCAACCCTCGGGTCAGCCCTCCAAGGAACGCTGCCCACGAATTGGCAGGCCAGGGGCCAGATAATGAATACTCCACATTTTTTGGCGGCTCAAAGGCCCGGTTGGAAACAGTCACCGTTTTATTCTGCAGCAACCACACGTTCTTCGTCTGAGTGCTGCAGGGAGGGGCGGACTGCAGCTGTGGGGGTGGGGCTGGCGGCTACTCCTGCACTCTGGCCACCTCCAAGGTCAGACTGGCCCTGGCTCCCATTAGGGTGAATCAAGCATGCAGAAGCCCAGGACTTGGGGACCTGGCTCTGAGTGAACAGCGTGCAGCCTCCTCAGAGCCACCGTCGCTTCTGGTGATGTTGAAGACCCAGGAAAAGGCTCAGAGCCCGGTTCTGCCCCAAGGGCCTCAAAGCTGGTGGAGCACAAAGGCCCAGGATGTCTGTCCTACAAAGGCCAACCAAGATAGCTTCCAGAATTCTGTGTCCAGAGGCCACCAGGCCAGGACCCTGCCTTGGCATCCACGCTGTGGGAAGGAGGTGCTAGCTAATCCTTTCCCATCGGGAACCTGCAGATGCACAGGCTGGCCTTGGACCACCCTCACCATCCTCCCATGTGGTCATGGAGCCTCATGACTCCTCCCAGCATCTACTATAGGACAAGACTTTCATGTACACCACTGATGAGGACAGTATCCCAGTCCTAGGTACAGTGAGGTCACTCAAGGTCACATGGTATGTCCATGCTCAGCAACAGGGGGTTTGGGGTAAGGCTGTCTCCCAGGACTGCTCTCAGCCAGATCGATCCCAGGACTGAGCACTGCTGGCTCAGGCTCCAGGCTAGGCCACTCGAGATCCTGCTGGTCCTGCTCATCTGGGGCAGTGTCCACGAGGAGACCAAGGGTCAGGGTGGAGCTCATAGTGAGCTGATCTTGGTAGCTGCAAACAGGTCTTATGAGTCTGGCCAGTGGGCCCAGGGCACACCCATCCAGCCCTGCCCACTGCATCTTGTCCACTCTGGACTGCATCTCCTGCCCCACCAACAGCCCCATGGCTGGGTACCAGGAGGCAGGTGGGCAGGGACAGGGGAGCTGGGGCAGCTCAGAAACAGGTGTGAGGAGGGGCGGGGTTGGGGCTGCTCTTTGGGGCAGGTGGGTTACACCCAGGTGCAGAGCCATGGCCTTGACAGTATACACGCTCAGTGGGCCAGGTGTGGGGACCCCTTCTGTTGAGCTCCTGGGCCCTGTGCCACTCCCACTGTACATCTTCTCAGCCTCGTGATGGCCCAGGCCAGCAGCACCAGACCAACACCACCAGGGTCCCCAGCTTCCAGCTTCTGCTGGCCCAGGAAGGCTTCATGGCCTTGGGAGTACACATACCTGAGACCAGGTGGTACATAAATACAGCCCTTGTGCTCTCTGGGCAGTCTGAGAGACATCCTGAAGCACCTTGGGGCCCACAGCATGGAGCCTGTCCGGGACTGACTCAGTTTCCCCACCGAGCCTGGCTTGTTTGTGGGATCCATGTCCAGTGAGCTCCCTACACCTCAGATTTTTCAAGACAACACAGAGGACACGGGGGGAGCACCATCTTTGAGGGGGGCCCTGCCCCTTCTCCTTGGGCAGGAAGCTAGTGGAACCCCAGCCCCTTCTGCAGGTGTGACTGGTTTTTCATCCCAACTGACAGCCAGGGAATATGGGATGGGTGTTAGGCCAGGGTCTGAAATAGGCATGGGCAGGCTGGAGGGAGACAGGCCAAACTGCCAGGAGAAGGGAGGCTGGACAAGGCCAAGGGCCATCTACCACCTCTGGGTGCCTCACAGGGTTCCAAGTCACCCTCCTGTTTACAGATGGGAAACTGAGGCTCCATGCATTAAGGCACTTAGCTGCTTAGGCACCCACTCCATGACCTGCACGTGTATGAGGGACAACGTCCCATGCAGTCTGGAGGGTGCTAGACAGCCATGGAGGGGTCCACATCACGGGGAGCCACACAGCCAAAACTGTCATGGGGCAGAGGCTCCTTACTCTATTTTTAAATCAAATCAACAACCTTTAAATAAAAAAACCTATTTTAAACTTCATGTCAGAACCAACCTCTAATCCACAGCTAGGTCTGACATCCAGGGCAGAGCACCCTGGTGCAGTGCTCAGAAACCAAGCAGTCTTATTTCATCACTGTTCCCAGAACTCGGGGCTGTGCTCCTATCCCAGCCCTGGAGCTGTGCACATTTCAGACCTGGCTTTAGCCAGGGGCAGCTGTGCCGAAACAGTGACAGGCTTTTAGAGCCCCCAATTTAGGTGTCATTCTGTGGTAGGAATGGCAGTCCTGGTAGCCAGGCCGGTGTCCCCTCATGATTTCCTTAATTCAAAAGGGAAAAAACCCTCCCTGCAAACACACTGCTATACACCTGACCCCACAGCTGCACGCTGGCCTCAGCTGTACTCTAGGGACCAGGCCCCACTGGGCTCAGGGCATAGCTAACTAGGCTGCCTGGGGCAAGTCTGACAGTGCGTGGCTCAGCTGTGTGTGACCCAGGTGCTGACAGGATCTCGTTTGCTGTGAGGCTTGAGCCTAAATCCTGCCTTTTCCCTGCACTCTCCTCGGGGTAGCTCTTGATCCAGTCCCTGGGGCACTCCAGAGCCCAGTCTCTGAAACCAGCCTATGTGATTGTAAGTAAACAATGAGTGTCTGAGTCCTGGCCTCAGCCACGCGTACCTACCCAAGACCCCACAGGGACAGCCTATTGGGCACTGTTGGCTGTCAGGTATCCTCCTCCTTACTCAGACAAGGGGCTGAGGGACTGATGCCCTAGAAGGGCTCTAGACACACCTGGCCTCAACACAATTCCCTGTGCCACGCCCTAGAACTATGTCCCCAAGACTGTCTGCTTAGAGAACCCCAGGATACTTTGAGAGCACAACTCCATCCTTAAAACAGAGCTAACCTCCAGTAGGTCAAATTCCCATCCCTAGAAGCCCTAGAGAAGCCTGAGGCCAAGCATGAGCGGACTCAGGATTCCAGGGGCCACACTTGGGCTCTGCATTTCCTGCAGACAAGAAAGTAGAAGCTGGCGGTGCCTCTGACACAGCGGGGGCTCCAGGTTGCTGAGGCAAAGTACCTGTTCTGCAGACAGGATCCAGGCCAAGGCTCAGCCGCGCTGACTCCAGACCCATCTGCCACATGGACCAAGGCAGCATGCAGAACTGGGACTGGCCTGGTGCAACCCATTCCACCAGCCAGGACACCAAGGCCTGGATGGAGAGGACAGAGGGATATAACCCGAAAATGGCACGGCCAGATGAACTCTTCTGTAGGCAGGTGTAGGAACCCTGTTAACACAGAAGGCTCCATTACTGCCCACACACCCTGCAGCCAGGGCTTGTGGCTCTGCAAGAGACTACTGTGACTTGTGTTCAAGGTCATAGCACAGGTGCAGACACCTGTATCAGGAGTCCCAGGGGCACCAGTAGTATGTGGTCCTCACAAGGTGCTGAGGGACAGCCTCACCTTGCAGATGCGGAGATGGAAGTGTGGCTGGAAAGGCCCCTGGCCCAAGGTCCCAGGGCACAGGGGATAAAAGAACCAAATGTGAGCAGTGCTGTCTCACAGGTCACACCCAGGGGGGCCAATGCAGGAGCTGGAATTCCAGGAATGCAAGGCAGACCCAACCAAGGCCTGGGGCAGTGCAGGCAGCTCAGCCCAATCCCGCCAGACCTGGCCTCTCCCTGTGGCCACCTCCACCCTGACCTGGGGGAAGAGGCCAGGATGAGCAGAATGGCCCTCACTTGCAGGCCTATCCCCAGGGCTCCGATATCTTCAGCAGTGCCAGCTCCAGGCTCCTCCAGTGGAATTCCCCACAGCCTTTGTGAAGGACCCAGCATTTCACCAGGCAGAAAAACCACAAGAAAAACTACAGTGTACCAGCACCTCAAGCACACACTAAGGATTGTGTATGCACCTGGCACATCAGCAGGCATGACTTCGTAAGCAATGCAGTACAGAGACATCACAGGCCCCAGCAGGAACTCTCAGGTACAATGGGTATCCATCCGTCTACAGTAGAGCCAGGGTATGGGGCCAGCCGGGCCTTCAGTACATCCCCTCCAGTCTTCAGGCCACTTCAATCACTTGAAAAACATCCAGCTTGAGCCCAAAAGCTGCAGAGTGAGCCAGCAAAGAAGATGCTCCTTACAACATGTGTCCACGAATGCAGGCGCAAGAGATGCAGCCACCATGCCAGAGTCACCCAAGGTGCAAGAGCGTCATGTGAGCTGACAGGCCATGGAGGGAGGTAGCTGGCCACGGGTGCCAGCGGTGGGAGGTAGCTGGCCACGGGTGCCAGGGACACAGTAGGTCAGCTCACTGCTTGATGACATGTATTATCCCCTGGCTGCTCTGGTGCAGGACAGCCTCCGGTCCCTGTGGAACTCACTCTCTGGTGAGTTCTGGCGCCCAAGGACAAAGGCATTCCAGATGCTTAGTGCGGGCAAGTCAAAGCCACCAGCCCAAGAGCTCTAATCCCCATTTTCATTCAACTGCCCACACAACCAGGGGATGGGTTAGACTCCAGTAAGCAACGAGAAAAATGTGACCACCAAATGTGTTTCACGTGCATGTTTTTTTTCTTTCTGGTTCAAAAAATAATAATAGTAATAATAGTAATAATAATAATAATAAGGCTCTTGGGTATATAAAACTGGTAACAATAAAAACACAAACTTCACCTTTACCAAAAACAAAACAAAACCAAAAACACCACAAAGAAACCACACATGCACATTTCTGTTAATACAAATAAAGCACAACATCTTACCAAAAATAAAGAATTTAGGTTCTGTCCAGACACTCCGCGGGGCACATGAGCCATACAGCCACCCTTGTCAGGGACACAGTGGGAAGCACCGCGGGGGGAATATGGTCTCACCGAATTTGAAAAATAAGTGGGTAAGGGAGGAACACATAAAGCCAGAAACATTTAGGAAATGATGCATAGGTAGGTATACCATGTTTATTTTAATACATCTCATTAGTTGCATCCTGCTAGGGAACACACACGTGGCACGGTCCTGACAGTTACAGCAGCCTGTGTGTTATCGGTGTAAATGTCATCCAAGAGATAATTAAAAAAAAAAAAAAAAAAGCTAGGCAAAGAGTAAAAAGGAAAGCTTAATCACTTTATGGTGTAAAAAATAAAATAAAATAAAACAAAACAAAACAAAACACCCACTTAAGGCTCTGGGGAAGGCCCCGGATAGACTCAAGCGCGACAGTGAGGAGTTGTAGTTTCCAAGTTGGTGCGGCTGCTCCCGTCACCCCACGTCCCACGTGCCCCGCAGAGCCTGGCGCCCCAAGAGCGTCCACAACTCCACATCCTTGGCAAAGAGCACCTGTGGCCACCGACAGAAATCCACCCCGCAAGCCGCCACGCGTCCACCAGGCGGGGCGGCCCTTCCGTCCACCGCATAGATATTTTTTGTGAGTCCAGTTTGTTTTTGTCATGTTTTGTGGTTTGTTTTCTCTCTCACTGACAAGGAGGCTTCTGCTGTCTCTCGGAGTGCTACAATACGTGCTTTGATGTCACACTGAACAAATGCACACTGTTGCTTTGTTCTCCAGGGTGCTCTTGGACACAGTTTTCACAGAGGAGAACAAAGACCACACGCTGGCAATAAAGCACCGTACATAGTAGGTTCAGGAATGTAACACGCCATGTACATCCGTGTCCCAGGAGAGGGCTGCTGGGTTATCCTCACCTCACATCTGCAGGGAGAGTGAGAGACACAGGCTGAGAGCCAGGACCCAGGCACACAATGCAGCACAGACAGGAAAGGCTGACAACATGGTGACTTGATCAGGGGCACAAGCTGTGCAAGACTCTGGATTTCAATTTGCCATCAAATTTTTTAAAAAATCGAACTTGTCATGTTATTCAGCAAGAACTAAGACAAGCTCATAGTACCACACAGGACATGTCTTGAAAGCAAGCCTCCTGCTCCCACTGTACAGGTAAGGAAACTGAGTTCCAGAAAGATTCTTTGGCCCTTCTCCCTACCTTCCCTTCCTTCTAGCCTAGCACCTGGATGTGACTTCTGGAGCTCTGGCAGCCATGTTAGTCCACAAAACAGCTCAGGACAGATGCTACCAGCCACAGGCACTGTGACCAGGCACACTAAGCTGACCTGTTTTCATTTTTGTGTTTCTTATGATGCCCAAGACCAAAGCCAGGATGGTGGGTGGGTAAGTGCTGTAAAGCTGAGCATCACCCAGCCCTGCCTGGGCTCTTCAGAAGCACGACCCCTGCCCATTCCAACACTGGGTGCCTGCCAGGGGCAGCAGGACACATACCAGCTGGCCCTTTGGCTGCACTAAGCCCCCACTACTACACCACACACCGGGGCACCTACAGGACATTTCCTCTCAGGAGGTCCTTTCCTGGGACCTAAGCACCTCTCCCACCACACAGCCGCGGGAGCCAGTCTCAGATGCCCTCCGAGGAGTCCCCCTGAGGCTGGAACAACTCTTTGTTTTGGATGCCAGGCAGTCCCACGTGGTAGAGTGAGGAGCAGGCCAGAGAGGCTGGGGACTGGAAGGCTCCCCGTGACTGCATCCCCCCTCTTCTTCTGGGAAGCAACATTTTGTACATTTCCCTGGTCAGCAGATGAGAAAACAAAAGCCACCAGGTGGGACTTGGGGGCCGACCATCTTTCTTCTCACTTTACTCTTTCCTCCAGCCTAGAGTAGTGACTTCTGGAGCTTTAGCAGCCACCTTGGGCCAGGTAGCCGTTCTGAGGATGGCTGCTAGACCAAATAAGAGCCTCAGTGATACCCTGGACTGCAGCACCTGCTCCAACCTCCCCATCTGGACAGAACTCCTCCCTCAGCTGTATCCCTCTGGCTGGTGTACAGGAGCTAACAGACCCATCCAACACTCCACAATCTTCCTCTGCACTCTGCGGAGCCTCAGGTTCCCTGTCTGTCAGAGGGGTGGGTGGCTTGCCCCATGACCCGGCTGCTAAATGTCAGACCCAACCCCTCCCATTTACATGTGATGTCTTGCGGCCCAATCAATGACAAAGGACAGAGTGGCAAGAGGGGATCCAGCGTAGTGAGCGTGGACCACAGCTCATGTGCGCGGGAGGGGACAGGGAGTGGCGCAGACCCAGAGCCCAGCAGACCCAAAGCAGGCAGACCCGAGGCCAATCAGGGCCACGGCCGCACCGCTGGGCAGAAGCTGATCATTTGCCGGTGTGATCATCGATTGCTTCCCCAGCTTGTGCAGTCCCAGCACTCCCAGCATGGTGGGGTTGCAGGGCCTACCTGGTTGGCGGCTTTAGGTGGGTTTTAACCTTTTTCTTTTCCGTTTTTTACCTGACTCCCTACGCCTTCCTGTTGGTGAAAGGCAGGGACGGTGAGTAGCCTTAGGGAGCAGACTGTAGCAATAAATACCTGAGTGTTTACCTCGAGCCCGCCCTGGCTCTGGTTCTGGCTCAGAGACACTTCCGGGTCCCTCTGCTCTGAGTCAAGCCTGGGGCCACAAGCACCCGCTGCTCCTAATCAGTAAGGCGCTGCTCCTGACCAGTAAGGCAACAAGTGTCCAGCATCTACCTGTTCACCTGCTCCTCTGGCCACTTGGCAGGGCCTTCTGCACCCACCTCTCACCTGGCCCAGCCCCTCACTCTAGCTTGAACCTGTTTCTCTTGCCAGCTTTCCAGGTGGCAGAACCCTGCCCTGTCCCCAGCTGGTGGAACCCCACCCCTGTATCCCCAGGTGTGCCCTTGCCCTGCTAACAAGTCTTGGATCCATTAAGTTGTTACCCAGAGGATCCCATACCAGGGGCCACCTAAAACTCCCAGGCTCAGCTTCCGGGAACCCCAGCAGTGGTGAGGATTAGGACACGGGCAGCCACTCACCCGTCTCCTCTTCCCGATGGTCTGGATTCAGGCTGGAGGTCGCACATGCACACTCCAGGTGTTCCTCTAACCTCACCTGGACCTCTTTCAACTTTGGCTTCTTCCTGACATACTCCACTTTGGCCACCTGCCGAAAGCAAAGTCACTGTGAGCAACAGGTGGGGACTCAGGCGCCACGCTGAGGATGGGACTGTAAGGCCCAGGCCAGGGTGGGAGTGGGGTTGGAACAGCCCAACCTTGACCTCTGCCCTGCAGGTGTGCAAGGGAAACACAAGCTTGGTCTCATTTTTGTTTAGGACAAACCCAAAGGTTCACATGGGCAGTGGGTGGCCTGAATATTCACACAGCGCAGGTGGCAAGAGACGGCAGGAGCTTCCAGACCTGTGTGCACTGGGGTGGTATCCTCAGTTGTTCGTTTTATCAGTAAAGCAAGAGGCTGTGCTAGGGCCAGAGTTTGCTGCTGCTGTGTGCGACTGGTGCCCGTCAGCCCTCTGGGTACCCTCCCCACCCCACCTCACCCCACCAATTATGATGCAGGAGGAATGGCACAGACCCACGGCCACCTGGTGGCCTAGCCAGGCCTGGGGCTCGTGGGCTCAGAGAAGCCTGGCCTTCTCAGCAGTGTGGGCAAAGAACACCTGGCCATCATAAGGCCACTTAAGGTGGACTCCAGACAGCAGGCTGCAAAGCCCCAGCTTCTGGTGCAGAGAGCTCAGGGAAACCCAGACCTCAGCTGAAAGCCTCCTCTTCAAATGAGGAGGCACCAGCCCCCATCACAGACCAAAGCCACCTGCGTCCTCTCCAGAAGCAAAGGACAGAACCCCCAGCCCAGTCAAGCTCCAGGTGCTCGAACAAAGGCTCAGGCTAGAGACTGTCTCCAGTCCTCTGAGACAGGCTTTCCAGGTGCCCACAGCCCCTGCTGGGCCCTTGAACACAGTGTCACGGAAGCACAATCCCCACCCTACTCCACAGATGCGTACATTAGGCACTCAATCCAGGTTCACAGTGACTACCTGCCCCGGAGGCCACCATGTGCTGGGCCCCTCACTTCCTCACCACGAGTGGGTGAGGTGCAATCTGACTACCACCCTCCTCAGGGTCCAAAGGCCAGCATGCACTCCGTCCTCCTACCCAGGACCAGCACCTCCAGCGGCAGCAGACACCAGAGCACAGCCAGCTCCTCCCCAGGATACCCCAAGAGCATGCATAGTGGCCTGTCCCTCGTCGCCAGTTTGTCCCATCACCACCTGGAGGGGGCTGGGGAGCAGACACCCTCTCCCAGTCCCAAGAAGCTATGTACACAGCAGGCATCCAACTGCATGTATCCAGGGGAGGTTTCCCTCCCAGCCCCATGAAGTGTGTGCAGAGTAAGTGCCCACGTGCATACATACAGGACAGGCCTCCTTCCCACTCCCACAGAGCTGTGCACACAGTAGGCACCCATCTGTATACATCCCAGGGCTATCCACATAGTAGGCACCCATATGAGGGCTCTCTCTAGCCCCACCAAGCCACACATGCAGTAGGTGCCCATCTGTGTATATCCCAGAGCAGCCTCCCTCCCAGCCCCATGGAGCTGTGCACACAGTAGACATCCACTTACATACACCCAAGAGCAGCCCTCAAGATCACCCCCTTTACCCTTCCCTGTGCACCAGGGACACTGAGGCTGGAAAGGGCATGGAGCCCACCCTGCACCCCCAAGTACCTGGAAGTAGAGGACCTAGTGAGCACTAGCCCACGGGTGAGGGTGCCCACCCAGTGGCCACCTACTCTGTGGCACTGGGAAGGCAGAGGATGGCAATATTTTCCTTCCCCACCTGCCTTCCAGGGTCTGGACTCCAGGTAGAAGGTGAGTCTTATACCTGCAGGGTGTCTACCCAACAGGCAAGCCTCCTTGGGGCTGTGGGACCAGGCCTGGCTGGACCCTGCTGCACGCCACCTTGGCGTTAATAGTTAACCCATGGTGCAAAGGGTGCCGGGTGCCCAGCGGGTGTGTAAGTGCTGTGGCTGTCTCAGGTGTGAACTCAGCCGCCAAGTATGAGCTCAGAGGACAGAGTGTAGGGCCAGGGTCAGAGGTCAGCAGAGGTTTCTCTGCGTCAGGAGGTGGGAGAAACAGCAGCCTGGTTGGTTGAAGGAGCAGTTGGAGGAGCGTAGGCCTTGCCCTGGGGTCGCTGCCTGGAAGGGGCTGTTTCACTGTCACTGGGAGGGCTTGGACACCCCCACCCACAACCCACCCTTTTCCCAGGCTAGGGGCCAGGAGGGAGGAGTCCATGGGGCTCTGACATGGGGACACAGACATACCCACCTAGGGAACAAAGGAGGTTCCCTGCAGAGCCACTCAGCAGGTGTCAATACTGACACACGCCATCAGGCCGCAGCTCCAGGGCCCTGGGTCCTTCACAGCCCACTCCCTGTCCCTAAGATCAGCATGAGGGCTGTGCTCCCTCAGGTGGGGAACAGGAGTCCAGTGATCCTCTCTTCAAAGGCCTAGGGTAGGGGAGGCCCCGCTGGGGTGAAACTCAGCAAGTCCTAAGAGAAGAGTGGGGCCCGCCCTGGACCTGGCCATGCCCCAGCCCTCCTCTGCACTCCCAGCTTCCAAGAATCAGAACCAGATCTGCCTGGGAACAGACACACAGGCCCAGCACCTCCTCCCCACCAGGGGACCCCAGCCATAAATCCAAGCAGGCCATGCTGCCCCCACACCTCACACAGGGCCAGGCTTGGGTCAGGTGCTTGTCTGGGTGGCACAGCCTCTGTGGTCAACAGTGGCCTCCCCTAGTTCCCCTGCAGAGCCTATGCCAGGCCCCAGATCGGTTGACCTGGACTCCCTAGCAGGGAGCAGGCTTGTTTCTCTCCACCAGGCACTAGCAGGTGTGGCAGGCAGGGCGGCCCCTCAGCACTCCAGTTATGCAGCCCTTGCGACAGTCCCTGAGGCTGCCTGGTCTGGGCACCCACTTTCTCTCCAGACAGACCATGTTTATCAGAGAAAAACAAACAGCAATTTATGATTGCACCTGCTGCTGGGAATGCGAGGATTCCAGCCACTCGGCCACCTCTGTCTGGCCAGGAAATGGCTACATTTTTCCCCCAAGAACATGTTATGAATATTAAATTCTCAAAAATCTCTTCCATGAAAGCTAAGTCTGAAAAAACACACATGATAAGACCTAGGGTCCCCCACTTGCATTCCCAGGCCCTGGGAGGCCCCAGACGTCTCTCCTTGTCCATCCACTGTTGCCTTGGCCTCCACTCAGCCACACTGCTCCCAGTAAATTCACCCCAGAGCCTCACCCAGCCATGCTGCATCCCGTGCATGAGAGACACCCACAGGCCCCCAGGCTGCTGCAGAGACACCCCCCGACAGCAAGGTCATGCTGACCACTCCAGAGCTTCAGGACTGGTCACCTGTGATAAAAACCACCACTGACTGAGCCCTGCCCTGGGACCCTAACAGCCAGCTGGAAAGACACGGATACAGCTCCTGCACAGATGAGGACCCAGAAAGGACATGTAACCTGCCCCAGTGCTCCACAGCTTCCATCCTTGGTCCATCTCTGCCCTCAAGGAGCTGGACTTAGAAGAAACCCCAAGGCCCTGTGATCCAACCCCAGAGAACCTGAGCCTGCTGTTCTACTCTAGGATCTTCCCAGGTTGAGGTCCTTCACCAGCTGGAGGGTACTAGAGCCCTGCTCCCCAGGAGGGTGACTAAAGCCAGACCTCAAACCCGTACAGAAGGTGAGGGGCTGGAAGCCCACCTGACCCACATCCTCAGCGTTCCATTCGGGCCAGAACAAAGTGGCTCCACAGCCCCCAAGGGCCCAGGGCACCCTTCTCATGGTGCTGACACTGTCCTCACCACAGGGAGGGATGTGAGAGCCCATCCCCCAAAACCTTGGAACTCTCCCCAAGAACACGCCCCCAACTCCACCTGGGGAGGCAAGGAGGGAGGCCCAGCCTGTGTGCCCACCCACACCTTTGGAAACCTGAAGTGTAGCCTCACAGCTGTAGTCCCAGCCTAAGTGCTGCAGAGTGGGCTCTGGGGAGACCAGGGTGAACCACAAGTCTGCTGAGGCACCTTGGATCCTGACTCTCAAGTCTCCCTCAAAACAGCACCAGCCTAAGGAGTCCCTGCACAGCAATACTCAGGCAGAACCAATTCAGACATGGCTCAGAGCCGGTCCCAGTCTCAGCCTCACAGTGGTCCCACCCACTGCAGAGCCAAAAGGGGCCCAAGCAATAGGGGGAACTTCGCTTCATCCAAGCCAGACACCCCAGCAGCTCCCAGGGGCCAGTTGTTAGGTGTGACCAGCAGAGCACAGAGCAGCCAGCCCTGGAGCCCTGTCACCTCTGCCAGGGCTGGCGGTCAGGGGAGGCCCCCGCAAATTGGACACAAGTGCTGGGCCCAGGATAAGGGCTCCCCTCAGATGTCCCCAGAAATGAAAGGAGAGCCCATCCCAGTCCCCACACAGTGACCCCAGTGCTGACCTGGGCTAGTGGCTAGAACCCCAGCATATCTACCTGGAGCCACTTGCGGCACCAAGTGACCACTCCCAGCTGAGGGACAGGCTGCCTGGCCCTCCTCCTGCCTAGCTTCACCCCTGCTGACCCACATCACCCACACTAGCTCTCAGCTCCAGGTGACTTTGGGCCCTGGGCTCATCTCCCTTATCCAGGCCAACATCTGCCTCAAGCCAGAACAGGCCTACACAGTGGGCTTCCTGTCCCTGCTGACCTCTGTCCTTCTGCCAGAGCCCCCAATGTCTGTTGCTATATATGTCCTTGAGCCTTTGAGTGGCGTGGCAGGGGACAGGACTTCCTGAGGAGGGAGCCCAGGGGGGCCTAGCTCTAGACACAGGACTTGGTGTCCAGGGAGGCTGACAAGAATCCCGCTGGGCAGATGAGGCCTGTGAGGTAAAGTCATGGCACCCTCTGAGGACCTCTGGGGGAGGAGGCTCCACTGCCCAGCTGGAAACAAACATTCCCCATTGCCACCCCAGGGGAAGCAGAAGGAGGAACAGCGGGCACCCAGAGGCTAGAGGCCACAGGTTAAAAACTTCCAAGTAACCTCCTTCATACCAGCACCTGTCCCTCCAAGTCCCCGTCTCATCCATCTAAGGACAGGCCAGCACCCACACACGGAACAGGTCAGCCAGGTCTAACCAACTGTGTACCCCAGAAGGCAAGATAGCTAGCGTCCCAAGCTCTCAGGCTAGGAGACCCCCAACCAGCCCCTAACCCTAGCCCAAACCCCCAATAAGCCATAGTGAGAATCCCAGGACCCAGGGAAAGGCACATGCTGGGACATGGTCACAGGACACTGGTAACAACGGGACAAGGTCCCTGGACACGGAGGCTGAGTCATACCCCCACCACCACCACATGGCTCTGCAGACAGGAGGTCGCACGTGAGCCTCCAGGACCCAAGGATGCCCTGGCCTCTTTTAAGCTGAATGTCTGGCCTTGGAGGTCCTCATTCAATCCCAGAGCTCCATAAAGACCAAGTCCTAAAGATAAGACATGTCTCTAGTACAGGTGACAGATGGTTGACCTATGACAGGTTCTTATAAGAAAAAGCTCCCCAGTATCCCCCTAGAGTCCAGTCTCAGCAGGGTAGGAGGATCTGAAATGGTTTTTTCTATAGTCCAGGAGTGGGTGAGTTCTAGTGTCATCCCCAGAACTGAAATTCTCAACTTAATTCTGGGGACTCCTTAACCCAGGAGAGGTGTCCCCCCTCTCAGAAGCAGGCTCTGCCAAAAGCTCCACCTCATGGCCTCTGGGATGGGGGCTGTGCCGCTCATACTCCACTGCATGGTCAGCTACCCCGAGCCCCCGAGGCTCATGCAAGACCAGAACAGCATCCCGACCAACCAGAACCAGACTGTAGGGAGCAGAGCCCAGGAACATCCAGCTCCAGGGTGGGAGCCTGAAGGTTCAGCCTCAAGGGCCCTCACAGTAGAGATGCCTAGCAGTGCCCCAGGCACCTGCCCTCCACCTTTGTTCTTTAGAGACCAACAACTCAAGGATCTGAGCCATGTGCAAAAAGCTCTCATCTGACCAGGGCACATGGGGCCAAAGGGGAGCAGGGCCAGCCTGAAAGCCACAACTGGGCTGGAAGCTACAGGCCTCAATTCAGTGGCCCAGAGAGAGCTAAAGCAGCAGGACTGTCCCCCAGGACTCGGGGGACAGGACATCTCCACTACACCAAATCTGGAGGCCACATGGCCAGCCTGAGTAGCAGCTTACCTTGACACTCCGGTGGTGGACCCTCGAGGGCTGGCACTTGACACTGCTGGTGTTGCAGCAGCCGGTGCAGCGCTTCACCTCCACACACGGCGGCCAGATCAGGAAGTTGGCAGATGTAGGGTCCACCTGGCTCCGAGGTATCTCGTAAATGACTGTCCTGGTCTTGCAGACCGCAGGAATGGCTTCCTCTGCAGAGCAAGTTTATGGTGAGTGCAGAGAACCCTTTGCACCCACCCAGGTGACTAGGCTTAGGACCAATCCACACACACATACATACACACACAGACAATTGGGAGTTGGGCAAGGTTCCCAGCTGAGGGACAGCCTGGAGACCCAAAGATCCGCAGGTGGTCCCTGGGGGTGCAGAGGGTAGGAAGGCAAGGGGCAGGCACAGTCTGAATCCCCAGGCTATACAGGGACCTGCTCACAAGAGACACCAAGAGTCTACCAACTGTCCACCAAGGAGGGGCCCACTGGACCCAGCCTCCTAGCTGCACCCAGCTGGGAGCACGCCGGGACTCCACATTAGGACTAGAATTTAGGCTCAACCACATTTTGCAGCGAGGCCTCCTTGCAAACAGGCCTCAACAAGACCGGGCACTTAAGGAATTTATGACAGCTCTTCTCTCCTGGAAACTCTTGGCCCAGACTGCAACTCAATGAAGAGCAGGCCAGGCGGGAGGCACATCATGGAGGCAGAGGGCGCCTCCAGAGAGGGCAGGAGGCCAGAGCCCAAGAGCAGGCCCAGCCTTTGTCTGGGGAGAGATGTACAGTGGCTGGCTGGAGGCCACTATGGGGAGCCTGGCCCAACCCCTACAGCCCTGCCCACCAAAGCCTCCTGGACCCACCGATGCTCCTCTTCCTCCGAATGGGCACAGGTCGCTTCTCGGGAGCATGCTTGGTGGCATGGGGCCCGTGGGCTCTCAGGCTGGTCTCCAAGGCATCCTCGGTTCCTACAGGTAGTAAGAGAACATTCAACCAGCTGTCTACACCTGTGTGATGCCCCACACCTGACCCGCATAGCCCTGCAGATAAACTCTCAGAGCCAGAGCCACCTGGGGACAAAGCATCTGGCAGCTCTGCCTACATGGCCCTCACAAAGCAGTCATCCCCTACACCTATCCCTACATTCCCACAGGGGCTCTTCAGATGTGCCTGGGATAAAACACTCCAAAGCAGGCCCAAAATATCTTGTCAACAGAGAGATTCCTAGAATCAAGTAATTCTAGCCAGACCTATGGCAGAGCTGGGACTTTCTGGGGAAGGGGCTCAGGGTGGCCCCCTCTGAGGAAGCTCAGTAAGGACAGAACCACATCAGGAAGGGCCCAACACTACTACCCCAAAACCCAGAGGCCCCACCCCCTACATAAACTAAGTCTCTATGGAGCATCCTAACCTCTGAGGGGCATTGGAAGCAACTCCCAACTGGGCTGTGAGCCAGCCCGGACCAGTTCCTGAAATAAGCCTGTTCTGAGGGCCAGAGGCCATGAGAAAATGCAAGAGGTGTGGCTGCTCACAGTGTAAAGGAGGAGTGGCCACCAGCCTGAGCAGCGGTCCAGGGTACCTGCAGAGAAGAGGGCAGCCACAGGAAGGAAGGTAGGAAGCCTCCTGTACCTGCAGCCATGCCCCACAGCAAGGGCCACCACTGGGTAGGGATGGTGTGACAATGACCCAGACCAAACCGCCCCCCAACATCACAGCCCCATACAGAGGGAGGGGGCTATAACACACAGCCCCAACTCCCTGGCCCCTCTGATTTCCGGGCGGAGACAGACACATAGCATGTCACCTGCTATGTGACCTACCATCCCAGACCTGGCCTCCCTGCCCATCCCCTCTGCTTCCTCTATCCTGCTTCCAGGGGCAAACAGTCCAGGAACATGTGCCCAACAGACAGGACTCACAGAGTCACTGGGTTCTCATCCTGTGGCCTCCCTTCTCTCTTCAGAAGCACCAGTGACATGACAGCCACCGGCCCAGATTTAGGCCCCAACTCAGTACAGGACACACAACCCAAAGTCCTTTCTACCCAGGCACCCCCATTCAGAGTCCACAAACCAACTGAAGAAGCCTAGGCCTCCTCCACTCCAGAGATGCCTTAAACCAGCACACTGGAAATGAAAACCAAAACTCAAAGTATGAATGGCAAAGACTCAGTCTGAGCAGAACTCGACTTTTCACTTAAATGACTCAATGTTCCAATACCACTGATTTTTTTTTTGAGACCCAAAATAAGATCAGAAAAAAAAAAAAAAAAAGAACTACTCATGCAATAAGAATTTCCCATCAACCATTACAACGAGTATTTTTTTTCCCCCACAAAAAAGTGACATTGTAAGTCATGCCCTGGTGGTGGACATCTTGCCCTCACCAAACCAAAGAGCCAGGGGCTCCAGTTCAAGGTAAAATTTAGCATAAGCATCTAGCTGTATGGTCCTTTCTACAGCCATACTCAGGATAAGCATCTAGCTGTATGGTCCTTTCTACAGCCATACTCAGGCAAATTGCTTCCAGGAGTCAGGTATTACCTGCCATCCCCATCTGTGGAAACAAGGCCCAGAAAAATGAACAAGGCAAGGGTAGGTGGCTGGGGAAGGGACCAGCCAGCCCAATGTCCATGTGCTGGGGCCCCCACTTCGGGCCTCTTGGCTCAGCTCAATGCCCAGAGGGGACACAGCCCTGACAGCTCATCAGCACTGCTGATGGCCAACTCTGACTTCTTTAGACAGGACTGAATGGGAGCAGCTCCTACTCAAACGAGCCCACTCTTGCGCCCATCAAGATGGGTGGTCACAGACCAAAAGCCAACCCACGCTCCAAAGAGCTATTCTGATTTGCGCTGGGTGAGAACCCACCCAGGCAGAAATTTAGAAGATCAAGACTGATCCCTGGTGGGGCAGCAGGAAAACAGTCTCCTAACTTTCTCAGGACAACTAATCAGGCAGTTTCCCTTTAGTCTTTATGCACAACATCATGCAAGACAAGGGAAACTCCTCCAGCTCTGTCCTGGTCGGCTGTGTGAGTGGCTGGGATGTTTATGTATCAGTTACTCAATGACCCAGGGCGCCTGGCCAGCCGGCTCTGGAGAACAAAGCTCCAGCCGCCACACCACACAGGACACACAGGCCCCAATTCTACAGCTGGCTGCTGGTCACCCCAAGACACACTGGTCCCTGGGCCCAAACAGCCTGGGAAAGCCACCTGGCATCTCTCTCCTCTCCAGTGCATATTCCGGTTGCTCCAGGCTCACCACATTCCCGGCACTTACAGGAATGCACGCCTCCGGAGCTCACCACACCGCCAGGAGGGGCAGGGTTAAGAGGGTTCCATCTGCATAGTGGGGATGGGGTGTGCCAGGTACAAAGCACCACCCACTCAAGGGAGGAGTCAGGTAGGGCCTGGGACACCTCAAAGCCTACTTCCTGCACCCTGCAACCTGCAGCCTTCCCTGTCCCCAGCGTCCTCCTGGAGGAGACTGCTGCGGGGTTCGTCACACTGGATTATCCCAGTATCCTGCCCCTTCTCCATCAGTCCTTCCCCTACATTGTCCTGGGCTCCTGCCAGAGCACAGTGTTCCCAACAGGTGAGAGATGCCTCTGACTAGACCTAGAAAGGAGGTCAGGGCTGGGGTGGCAGCTTTGTCTGAGTCTGGGCCACCACGGCCACTTACAACCTACTCCAGCAGTCTGCAGCAATGGGCTCCTCCCTTCCAGTAATAACAATAGCACAGGGGCCACCCCTGTCCACAGACCAGATGGGACCCTCCTGTTTTGAGTTTTCACATCTTAGGATACTGACTAGGACAGACTCACTTCTGTCCCAAAAGATCTCCATTTCCAAATTGAGGCACAGGGTCAGGGAGGAGAGTTGCTGTCACTGTTTCCAGGGGACTGGGCAAATCCCATTCGACCCCAAAACACCTGACGCATGGAGAGGACTGGGATCACCACCGGCCACATGGGCAGGGGAGGAGGCAAACTGCAGGGACAGTGCCCAGCCCACCTACACACACACACACACACACACACACACACACACACACACACTTGCAGAGGCAATCTGACACTTGCTAGAAAGACAGAGGTGTACCCTTGCTAGGCCCCAACCCAGAAGCCCCCAGGTCAGGAATGCAGTCAGCAAACCCCACGGAACAGCAAAGCTGAAATGTTAATGGTAGGGGGCGGGGAGGTGGAGCTGCAGAGACCAGAATAAGAATGGTCCTGGCAGAAAGTAAATGGCCCATTTCCCTGTGGTACCAACGCCCACAGGAGGGAGGCCCCGCCGTCCAAGGCCTGGGCAACCAAGCCTCTCGTTGGGAAGCAGTTGCCCCAAATCTCCAAATCCATCAGGGACCAGCAAAACCCAGTGTTTTCCCCGGGTACCCAAGCCAAATCCTTTGCCCCAGGCTTGCACATCATGGGACAAGATCAAAATTCCCCCTAGCCCAGCTCTGATCTACAAGTGAAACTCTACCCTACTCCAGATAAGGATCAGGCAAAGGATTTCCTGGGTCAAGGAACTGCAGAACCCACAACCTTGTTAGAAAACGGTTTTGGCATGGAATGAAAACAGCGCAGGCCTCTCCACCACCATAATTAGGTACAAATTTCCAAATGACTAGACCATGTGATTTTACTTAATTCCCCCACCACCCCCCTTTCCCAAGTAGTTTGCAGGGAGAGAGAAATCTTCATTTCACTTAAAATTCTTCACTTCAGCTGTCTTTCCTTACTCTGACAGGTCCATCTCCAATCTCTTTTTCAAGCCAGTAAGAAATTTCCCCACAGGCATTATCTCCCTGGTCAGCGATGAGGATGGAGTTCCCCAGGCCAAGTGTTAATTTGCAAAAGGGCGCCACAAAGATGTGGAGATCTCCTCCTCCAGCCCCTCAGGGAGTACAGCCCCCCAACACTAACACAGAAACCCCTTTAACCCTTGCTACCTAGATCTACTCCAACACTGCTTCAAAGCTCAGCATTTACAAATAAACTGTTTTCTAAAGTGGCTCAGATCCAGGCCCCGAGGGTGAGCCCCAAAAATAGCCCCCAGCAAATGTGTCCAAGGCACGCCTTTTTATTGGGTCGTGAAAAAAGGCCTCCCGCAGCCACAGAAGCCCAGCCCCAAAGGCAGCACCGCACCAGCCGACTTCCCCGACAAAGGGGCAGGTCCGGCCAGCTCCGCGCGCGCCCCCCGGGCCTCTCCAGGAGGACCGCCCAGCGCACGGGCCAAGGCTGCGCGCCCACCCGCGCTCCTTAGACGCACACCGGGCCCTGGCCCTGGCGTCCTCTATGCTGCTGAACTTTCTGTGACACACACGGCGTTTTCCTCAAACGCAAAAACATTCCCGGGGCGAGCGAGCAGCCCTCAGCCGCCACTGGAGAGAAAGTGGCGACTGGAAGAGAAACGCCTGACTCATGCGCCTGGGCGTTTATGGCCGGGGAGTGGATTCTGACCTTTCGGTGCGCTCCTGCGCGGCGCCCGGCCCGGCCGCGCGCGGGAGGCGACTCGACTCGGCCACACTCCCTCCCCGCCCGCGCCCTCCCCGCGCCAAGGGCAGGGGCGCGATTTACCTACGGAGTCTATCTCCAGGAGTCGCTGGAGGTCCCGGATGCTGTGGATCTGACTGCGAGCCAGCCGCTCGATCAGCTCGCGGGGGATCTCGGCTTCCTGCAAGCAGACCACACTGTCAGCGCCCAGGGTGGTGAGACCCCCAAGTTGCTGCCCCCATCCCTGTCCACCCTCTGCAAAGCAGACCCACCCTGCTTTTCAGCATCCTAACAAAATCTCCCCTCCCCCCCTTCCACCGGGCCAGCCCTGCCCTGCGGGTGTCAGTTACAGGGGTCTGGGGGCGGCGAGAGGCCCAAGAGTTTCTGGTTTAACAGTGGGACCGACGTCTAGAAAAAGCGAGTCGAAATGCGTCACGGGTCGACGAGGAAAGTCGCGGCAGCCCCAACACTTTAATCTAGCCAGGGTCTTAAATTTCACGCCCCAGAATCCCGACGGAGCCCGTGGAGAAGAGGGTCTCCCCTCACCACCCAGGCACGCGCGCGCCCCACCTCGGCCTCGGCCCTAGCGCCGACTAGGACACCCAAATCCAGCCGGCGGCTGGGGAGGCTGCAGGGCAAGCTAGGGTTAAACATCCACCTCGCGGCTCTCCCGTGCCTGCCCAGCCCACCCCCACCACTCGGTCTTCCCCCTCCCCTCCACTGTTTTAGAGGGAGTAGGGGTGGGGGGGTGCTCAAGCACGAAGTTCCCACGACAGGGGCTGTGGAAAGTCATTCATCACAGCTAAGCTCCCGGGGACCTGGGGTGGGGGGTGGGGGCGCCGGCGGTGGGAAGGCGCGGGCGCAGGCCCGGCCCCAGCTGCCTCACTCAGCCACCTGTAAGCAGGCCCGGGGCAGGCGGGACTGCGCCGGCCCGGCGCCCAGCCGGGATCGGAGACCAGGAATCCGGGCTGCGGCGCGGCGCTGCCCACCCTGGGCTTCCGCCGCAGCCCCGCTGCCCGCCCAAGGCGCTGCAGGCTCACGCACACCCCCTTCCCCGCCGCGCCCCGGTGCCCCTCCCCAGGGAGGCGCCCGCGCCCCGCGAAGTTTTTCTCCCCACTCGTCCGCCTCGCCGCTCCCCCGTCCCTCCGAGGCAGAGCGACGCAACACGCTGGAAACTCACCAGACACACTTGGGCACGGCAGAAAATAGAACCCAGTTGGGAAAATTTAAAAACAGACCACCTCCATCAGAAATCAAACGTCCCTGCAGAAGCTGGGGTGCCCTGGCCCGCAGGCGGCCGCGGAGTACGTGTGCCCGGGGAGCTGGGAAGGGGATGGGGCGCGGGGGTGGCACCCACCTCGGCCAGGGCATGGACGAGGTATCCGCAGGCGAGGAGCAGCAAGCAAGCCCAGGTCCTCATCGCGTCCCGAGGCGCTGGCGGCTCGGCGGGGAGGCGAGGCCGCGGGGCGGGCGCTCCAGCCGGGCTCCTGTGGCGGCGAGATTCAGTACCATCCCTCAGGGAGCGCGGCCCGGAGGAGGGCGGCGCGGAAAGGGAGCCGGCGGAGCGCGCCCGGCGCGAGCTGCGAGTGCGGCGCCCGCGAGAAGGAGGAGGCTGGGGAGTGCGCGCCCGCCGCGCCGGGAGCCTCCTGGGCCGCCGGGTAGGGGGTGGGGACGGAAGGGGCGGAGGGCGGGGGCTGGGCTTCTTCCTTGGTGCGTTCCCGTCCTGGCCGCCGCCGCGCTGGATCCCCGGCGCTGGCTTTAGGAGCGACCCGGCCGGTAATTCCGCATATTTGCGGGCATCAGCTCCGGGACGGACCCCGGAGCGAGGCCGGAGCCGCGGCCGCACCGCCGATCACCTGTCTGGACGCCAGACTGGGCCCTGGCGCCGGCTCGCGCGCTCGCTGCGGGCCGC